GGCAACACTCTCAGATAAATTTGAGTTTATAAACAATGCCAACCAATTGTAGGAGTGAGTGCGTTGGTGAAAATACACAGTCTCCACCATGAAGCGACCACATGCACGTTTTTCCCCATGCGCCTATACTGAGTTTGGTGACACCATACATGGGACATTTTGCTGCTGATTGCCTGAGTTTAAACAGGTCATGGTAACTTAACAGTGTACTTGCTAACATACGAGGACTTGAATGGCGGTTGTAATGGCGTTTACACAAGCTCAACATTGATTCTCGCCTGTGTTGAGTAATTAGGGGTCAGTGACCTTGACTTCATATTTCATCCTAAGCAGATAACTGTAAATAGAATGTTTCAGAAAAAGAAATCTCCGTTGCATCAAACAACTACAATCTCTTCTGAAAGCTTAATTTTTAGTACCAACGGGGTTGGACAAATGCTGATAATACAATGAAAGTAATCACGAGGAAATACCCACTAACAGAGGATCTAGTGGGACATTATTGGGTGCAACTCTACAAGGAGACCCCCAGTACCCTCGATTGACAAGAAAATGTACAGAAAAAGACATATACATCATCATGTGTGAAAAGAAATCTTATTAGTGAAAAACAGCTGATACGTCCAGAATTACTGAACACATCAATGAGTGACCAAAACATACAGAACAATGACGTGGCTGGAGGTGATATATTACTTTATTAAAACATATCTGCGAATATCATCATAATGTACGGTTAAACCACTTACAAAGTGATACAATGTCAACGGTTCAACAACCAGTACAGTGACTTAATGTTCCCATTTAAATAACCATTATAGTTACTTAGTGTCCACAGTTACCACCAGTACAGTGACTTAATGTCAACCGTTAAATAACCATTATAGTTACTTAGTGTCCACAGTTACCACCAGTACAGTGACTTAATGTCAACCGTTAAATGTAAATAACCATTATAGTTACTTAGTGTCCACAGTTACCACCAGTACAGTGACTTAATGTCAACCGTTAAATAACCATTATAGTTACTTAATGTCCACAGTTACCACCAGTACAGTGACTTAATGTCAACCGTTAATAACCATTATAGTTACTTAATGTCCACAGTTACCACCAGTACAGTGACTTAATGTCAACCGTTAAACAACCATTATAGTTACTTAATGTCCACAGTTACCACCAGTACAGTGACTTAATGTTCCCATGTAAATAACCATTATAGTTACTTAGTGTCCACAGTTACCACCAGTACAGTGACTTAATGTCAACCGTTAAATAACCATTATAGTTACTTAATGTCCACAGTTACCACCAGTACAGTGACTTAATGTCAACCGTTAAATAACCATTATAGTTACTTAATGTCCACAGTTACCACCAGTACAGTGACTTAATGTCAACCGTTAAATAACCATTATAGTTACTTAATGTCCACAGTTACCACCAGTACAGTGACTTAATGTCAACCGTTAAATAACCATTATAGTTACACACTTACCACCAGTCCACAGTTTAATGTCAACCGTTACCAGTACAGTTACTTCCACATGTTACCATGTACAGTGACTTAATGTAGTTACTATAATAACCATTATAGTTACACAGTTACCACCATCAGTACAGTGACTTAATGTCAACCGTTAAATAACCATTATAGTTACTTAGTGTCCACAGTTCAACAACCAGTACAGTGACTTAATGTCAACCGTTAAATAACCATTATAGTTACACAGTTACCACCAGTACAGTGACTTAATGTTCCCATTTAAATAACCATTACAGTGACTTAATGCCAATAGTTAAAAAACCAGTCAACTGACGTAATGCCAACCGTTACATAACCATTACAATGACTTAATGTTCACAGTTCAAAACCATTACAGTGACTTAATGTATAGACCGTTCATAAGTTATGGCTAGGGGGGTGATGGTAATTTTAAGGGGGGTGGGGGTCACCCATTTTGTTATGGGAGGTAGGGGATCATAGAGTTTGTACACGTGTACTGACGGGGGTCATCAGTTTTGCACACAGTAAATATAAATAAAATTATCCTTAAAAATATTGGAAGGGGGGTCGTGTCATTGATTTTGTACATGACAGGCAGGGGCCATCACTTACTTTGTACATAACATTTAGTGGGGTGTCATTCACATTGTACATGCTTCTCCATAAAAATCATCATCACCATCACTAGCCATAAATTATGAACGTTCCCTTAACTCGCCTTGAGATTTACACGTCGGGTCGTATTCTCACTGTCAACAACACATCAAATCGCTATCAGCGTTGTCTCTCTGTAAACTACAAACAATACATATCCTGTAATAAGAGGGAAATAGAGAGTCGGGTGATACACAGCTATAGTGGCGAGTGGAAGGAGACCAGAAGTAATGGAGGTGTCAGGTGTTAACCACTTCAGTGAAACCCACGAGCATGGGCAAGGCTGGCTGACTGAATTTAGTTTTACACCGCTTTTAGCAATATTCCAGCAATATCACGGCGGGGGACACCAGAAATGGGCTTCACACATTCTACCCATGTGGGGAATCGAACCCGGGTCTTCGGCGTGACGAGCGAACGCTTTAACCACTAGGCTACCCCACCGCCCCCATGGGCAAGGCACATAACGGGGGATCAGAAACGACGATCTGGCGTTCCTATTGCGACGCCCTAGACTACTGAGCCACCTGTGCCCCCTTGTAATACGTATCAACATTTATTCCAAAAATATAACCAGAAAGATGCCACAAAAATATCTTTTCGCAATTTTCAACCGGTAAAAGGCAGAATAGTGGTGAAATAATGTGAACACCGAAAATCAGGAATGACACTAGGTGCTCCTTAAACAATCGCTGCTCACAACTGTGTCATTTTGGGTCAGCCCTACGATGACCTATATTATGGTGACGAGGCCAGCCTTCTGAACAAATATTTTAATCTGGTCATGCAGGTCCTGCCCGAGTTATATAATAGTATGTATCTTAAATGAGTTACTTAGGTTGTTCAAACTGATGAATACGAGTATCAACTACATACTTTTGTCAAGTCCCATCTATGACCCTTTGAAACTGAACTAAAAATATTATATAATGAATTTCTGAAGAAAAGATCCTAGACCATGATATATAGGTGTTATTATTGCCCCCGTCACTTGGTCAGTGTGCTGGGGAGTATACTACCACAGTTGGCGGGAAGGTTAACGATCATCTCATCCTACCCGTTCAAATGCATACTTCTAATACAGTTACATATTTACTCACTCAGGGAGGTGGGGTAGCCTAGTGGTTAAAGCGTTCGCTTATCACGCTGAAGACCCGGGTTCGATACCCCATATGGGTACAATGTGTGTGAAGCCCATTTGTGGTGTTCTCAGCCGTGATATTGCTGGAATATTGCTAAAAGCGGCGTAAATCTAAACTCACTCACTCTTTTCTCAATATAACAAAGTTTACAAAAGTCTTATCTCCAAAAGAATCTCCAGACTTAGTAAATCTATCAAAATATATTTTACATCTATTAGCTCTTGCCAGAAAAAATGTTACTAAAGTACTGTCGGAAATGCTAGAAAAATGCTTTTTGATTTATATTTAAAATTCAAAGGTATTACAGTTACTTAAATAACAAATATCACTTTAAGAAACATCTACCTAATGTAGACCGAGGGAATTTATTTTGAGACATGCCCTAAAATGTGTTCTTACTGATGAAAATACCAAAAACTTAGAAAAAGAACGGGTTGTGGGATGTTATTTGATAAAAACATTAACTGCCTGTGTTACGTCATCAGCATGCACAGCATGTACGTATATTATACGTATTGGTTATGTAAGGGATCATTTGTGTATGTGTGCTTGTTTTGAAATAAACATACGAATTACTGTACATTGGAAAGAATCCTATCACTTGTGTTATCTTATCGATTGATTGTAGAAATGTGCAACGTTTTAATAAATGTTTCGCATGTCAAGAGTGTATTTCATTGCAAAAATATGGATGTAATTCGGTCAGTTTAATCTAGTTGTGAACATTGGCCAAAGATTTAACGAAGTCACTGGTGTAGCTTCTTTAGAATATATATATTATTATTCTCATAAAGTTTGTACGCTCCCCGTCTAAGTACTCCCTTGTCAAAGTTGTCAAGGATGGTTTTACGTCCCGGTTTTGCTTTTGAGAAGGTCCCTGTCTTGTCTGATTTGTTTACACTATTGTAAACTTGTTGGTAAGACATACCAACAGCTCTACAAGTTCTGTAATAAACCCTTTCTAAACTAATGAAAGGTTTACCTCTGTCTTTTTCAAGCACGAAAGCTTATAAACCTTTGCAACAATTTCCTTCAAATAGTTGGCCATAGTGGACGCTGTGATAAAGATGTGCATGCATGACGGGAAACCTATTTATCAAGACTTAACATTTATATAAATATTTCTTTAATAAAGAAACGATAATTAAGTAAAGTAACACAAACATTCAACATTTATTTGTGAAAGAAAAACGTTAATTCATATTTTTACACCACCTGTATTATTAGCATAAATGTAAAGACTATTTCAGATTTCTGTTGTTGAACTCTGAAAAAATCCTAAATTGTCTCTGCTGTAAACTGCCCTTTAAATGCATGGGAATGTTAAATCGATTGAAATAAAAATTAGGTACACTATAGGCGAGTTGATATATTGACAACACAGTACATTTATCACCTTTATCAAAGTATTAAGGCTAAAAAGAATTTGAATTTGTATTTGTATATATGTTTATGTTGTATGCTCTTGTACCACAAAGATGGTTTATGAGAATAAAGAAATGAATTGAACATATCAAACATACCATCATGCTGTGACGCATAGAAACACCTTGCATTTTTTTAGTTTTATTTCACAAAGTTACAATTATAGTCACCATACGACTATACTAGAATTCACAATAAATTCTAATTGTCTTATTTTCTTCAAGCAGCCGTTTCTATATGCCTGTAGCTGATAAAAAAAGTCAGGTTACTTCAGCCCCTGTTCTGGGATGATGAATATGACGAGCGGGACTGACTGACAGTCACAAAACGTCTCCGGTCACTGACACGCATGAAGCCCGTGGTGGACGGTACGCGTATATAGGAACTTTCCTCTTCCACTCGTGCACACTCTTCAGGCATCTGATCAGGAATGGCGACCGAACCTGTGTGCGTGTGTGTCGAAGACATTAAGAAAATAGCTGAAGAAAAACTGTCAAAGAGTGCCCGTGTATATTACAACAGTGGAGCGAATTATGAAAATACTTATAAAGACAATAGGAAGGCTTTTGGGAGGTAATGTCACATTTATTCTGCAGTTTTGGTTTTGTTTAGGGGTTGCCTAAATGTTACGTTCATGTATATATTGCAATCGACTTTAAAGAAACGCTTTGGAGATACCCATGTCACACACTACTCGAAACATTCTTTAGAACACCTGATGTTTTCACCTAACTGTGGTCAATCTGTCATGTCCAACGTAATTCTGTCGCTCTTGTAATAAGATGTCAGGCATCAGCCAAGTCAGCGAGCCTGGCCACTGTTCCGTTTATATCCTCTTGAGACAAACTATTGTCGCCTCTTAAGGCAAGTTGAAGAACAATTCAAACCGGATATTCATGGGTTAAAGGCCCTCTATATCTGTTGGAAGAGTTTTGACGTGAGCCGTCAGTGGTTTCAAGCATGCAGAGAATGGGCTCAGTGATGAGACTGTTTGGGTCCAACCAGAAGATGGGAGAGGCAGGGTGTACAGGTGCTGCCATGTACGTGCACAGCTAGTTCATGTGAGTGAGTGAGTGTGGTTTTACGACGCTTTTAGCAAATGTGTAATTTTGCTTTGATCCACCATCATACAGATATAACCACTTAATTTCAATGATACTGTTTCCAGATACAAGATTCGACCGAAGTATATGCGGGACGTGTCCAATCGGTCAATGGCGACCACTATTCTGGGCCACAGAGTAGACTGTCCCATCGGCGTGTCCCCGGTTGCAATGTGTCGTCTGGCCCACCCCGATGGAGAGGTGGCTGTTGCCCGCGGTATGTACCTCAGCAGTATTTAAGTTCAATAAACACTATGGAATATATGTAATGTATGTAATTTATGTGTTTTGTTAACGAACATGGGCTTAGCCCCCGCAATTTGCTTTGCAGAGCTGTGTCCACGGGGCACTCCAGAAACCACTTATCGTGGGTTCGAATCCAGGTTGGCCCTCATGTAGGTTTACATTTCTCAGACCTCCATCACTTCGGGATTTCCTCCCACATTTAGCAGACACGCCGTGATGAATGGGACACTGTTCATAGAGGCTTTAACTCGCATGTGTTACTTTAAGATGGCGCTCAGCCCCACTCCGGGCATATTGTCCCGAAATTGAGTGCAAATATAAGACCTGACATGCTGTTTTGTCTTCATTATTTCAATATGCTTTGCTTTTATCAAGTCTTACCCAATACAGAACAGTTTGCTTAATCTCAATGCACAAATGATTCACGAGAATTAGGTTGCACAAGTATGGACTTCATAACTTGATTTGAACAAAAACTGAGAGTCTGAAAACAGACGAAGTTTAACATAAGGTCAAAACACAACTTTGATATCGCCATCGAATGACCATTTTTAGGTGTTTCAGTTTTGCTCCATTGTTCGAAAATGAGTAAATGTATATATCATCTCTTGAAGGGCATTTTAGTGATATTGTTTTAATGTTGACATCACGAAAAATGTTCTCAGAGTCATACACCCATGCTCGTGCGACAAAAGACGGTATTACCTTTAAGGTGGGAAATACTGTTCATATGGGCGTTTAACTTCACTTATACATAAAGTGTCAACTTGTCTACATCACGTCGGCAGCTTGTGCCAAGCTTGGCCGCTGTTTCATATTGTCTACTATGGCTACTGCTGGACTGGAGGAGATTGGAGAGATGGCGCCAGACTGTCTGCGGTGGTTCCAGATCCACATCCTGAGAGACAGAAATCTGCTGGTACAACTCGTACAGAGAGCTGAACGTGCTGGCTTCACGGCTTTGGTGCTAACTGTTGACTGCCCAGTGTATGGACGTCGCCATGCCGAGATGAGGAATGACTTCAATTTACCGTCAACATACAAGTGAGTAGCACGTTAGCTCACATGTGTCATGGACTGTGTATCATTCATAGACATCGCTTTTCATATTGATTTAAACTTGTGGGCATAGCGTTTGGCAATAAGAAAAAAAACACTTATTGGATTCCCTACTTTGGTACAATGTGTTAGCCAATTTCGAGTGACCCTTTACTGTTACTGGATTATATCTGAAAGCGGCGTAAAACGATGCTAACTCACTCGATTATCATTAATGTTCTGTTTCTATAGAAACAGTCTATATAATACCTGCACGAGGCTTGTGTATGAAGACCAGAAAGGCGCTGTTACGGGTACTAAGCTGGTTCCCGGCTCCTTTTGAGCGCGCCAACTTGCGATATGCTAGACGGGGTCCAGCTTACTTCCGGTACCAGATTTCCGGTGACAAGCGTATATTCAAGAAACAGTTCTGGTTCCAAATTGCGCGACCGCTACATATGAGTAGACCGGACCAATTGTACAACCATGCTTGACTGTCACAGATGTTGACAGTCATAACAGTTGGCTAATTTGGGGTTATGGTTAGATCGGAATTTTGTTATTCCTGCAAGGATTATCGGTTCCTTACTGTCAGCCATGAGACCATTCGAAAAGGTATGAAACATTGTTTGTCACCATAAGTACTGAGGTCTCGCAAAGTGCAGTGACCTACTTACGGGTCCTATGGTCCATGTTGTCTTGGTGCGACGACAAACGACGAGAAATTCGGTTATAAAATACCGTTTAATTGATATATTTTTGTTCAGTTCAGCTTCGTGCAATGGAACATTTTCAGGCCAGGTGTGTTGGAGGGATTGAGGTCACGTGCCGGGATGTCTGAAGAGGAGAGAGAAGCAGGGTTGACTAAATTCCTCAACAACCTCTTTACCTCTGCAGCAACGTGGGACGACCTGCGATGGCTTAAGACCATCACTAAACTTCCGGTGGTTGCCAAAGGCATAACTACAGGTAACAGAGGCTAGAAGAGGTTCACCTCTTCCCCGATATATTTGAGTTTTGTTTCTGCTGTTTGCTGCTGATGTGATATTGGTATCTGAAGACGAGTCTTGGCCCCGTTTCACAAAACTATCGTAGCGCTTCGACTGTCGTAAGTCTATGGAAGGTACGACAAACGTAGCGCTACGATAGCTTTGTGAAACGGGGCCCCGGCATGCAAAAACAATTAATCATGTTAGTAACATATCTGAGAGATGGGATTTGTTAATCTTTAAACGACGCCATCCTCTGTACATAAATGCATATGGTAGAGTTCTGAAATACTGGTTAAAACTTACCGAGATGCCTGCAGATCAAACTCCACGAAAAGCTTATGACATGTTGATGTGTTGAGACAATTGTGGTGATAACGATTATGATTCTGTATCTAATGAGCGATCTTTACTGTTTTCACATGGTTTTGAAGGAGGTGTTATTTCTTAAACAATTTACAAATGTTCTTGTAAATGCTCTTGAAACAGTTCAAGATATAAACTGTGTAAAAAGAGTAAACATTTGATAGAACCTGAAAGATATCTATATTTCAACATGGATAAACAGTATCGAAATATTCTCATAAAACTGAGTACAGGCTTGATTAAATATGAAAATAAACAAGGGAAGGTGGTTTGGTACTGATTTGTATCAGCGAGTATGTACGACTTGTAATTTAGGTATAGAAAACGAATGGCATTTTTTGTTAATTTGCTCTTCATATAGTGATATTAGATCGTGTTATCTTGTCAATGTGTACTTACCTGATTTCTGTGTAAATACTTGTACTTCTAAAAAGCGGCAAACATTGTTAAACGTGGAATGTTAATCCATTAAAACAAATTAATCTATCATGTACAAATGTAATTGATTGTAATTCAATACAGTATCTGGACCTTTGGCCTTCACACGAAATGAACACTTGGTTTGGAAGCTCTGTAAAAGTTATATTAATTAGGATACGTAGTATTCAGTGATATGAGTCATTGTGTAATGCTAACGACCATACGCCTCAACTGTCGACTTACCTTGTCATGTCTCTGTGTTGCCAGGTGAGGGGGCCCGAGAAGCCTTGAGGGCTGGCGCTGATGCTATTTTAGTGTCCAATCACGGGGGTCGGGAACTTGACTGTGTTGCCGCCACGGTGAGCATGGATAGGGGAGCATGGATAGGGGATCAGAGTTATACAGAGTAGTCAGTCACTAACAGTAGATTTGGTTTTCCTTATTGCCAGATATGACCACACTATTGTGAGCGCAAGCAGCAATATGGATGCATTTCATGGTCAAGTCGACACTGGAGATTGTTGAGGTAACGTCCTTTCTGACTTTCAAAGTCTTAGGCTGAAAAGCAAATAGTTCAAACACTATAAAACGTTGTAAACGTACATAGCAGAACATATATTTCCGAATTCAACAATCAACTTGAGATAACAAATCTGTCAACCCTGTACAACCCTGCTCAAAGAATGAATTGTGGTTTATCATATATCTTCTTGTACAACCCTGCTTTACGGATGCATCGTGGTATACCATATGTCCCTTGTTAACCCCGCTTTCAGGATGCATTGTGTATAATATATTCCCTTGTAAACTCATGTTTTGTGGATGCATTGCAGTATATAATATATTCCCTCATAAACTCATGCTTTGTGGATGCATTGCAGTATATAATATATTCCCTTGTAAACTCAAGCTTTGTGGATGCATTGTAGTACATAATGTATTCCCTTGTCACCATGCTTTGCGGGTGCATCAACCCAGGGACCCCGAGGGACCAGTGAACAACGCATTTATCTTACCGAACACCTCAATGGTAATTTTGAACTGTTTGAAGCACGGGTATCGGATCATAGTATGGAGTACCAGACGACAAGACAAGAAAAACAAATTTAGAGTTATCTCCCTTCCATCGATTTCCATTCGCAAAACATCGGTAATTTCCGTACACCATACGTGATTCAGTGTTATTCGAGATACAGAATTACTACTACGAAGTACCAAATGAGACCGGCATTCCCAGCGGGGTACGTAGAAAATGTTACTCGCCTGTAAGCGGGGTACATTCAAAATAATAGAAGAGCGCTCAGCCAATCAGAAAACGACATTTATGTGTGAGGCAAGATAATATAAGTTGTTCACTGGTCACGAGGGGTAAAAAAACCCATGGGCCCGAGCGACCAGTGAACAACGTATTTATCTTACCAAACACCCCAATACCTGTTTGAAGCACGGGTATCGGATCATAATAAGGAGTACCTGAGTTAGGCAATTAGCTAATGCTAGATTTTCTGATGACACAGAATCTAGCAGACAAGAAAAACAGATCTAGAGTTATATTCCTTTGTACACTCATGCTTTGCGGATGCCTTGAAGTATATAGCATATTCCCTTGCAAAGTCGTGCTTTGGGGATGCATTATAGTATATTTTATAACCATTGCCTTAACCATGTTTTGTGGATGCATTGTGGAATGTCAATATCTCCCTGTACATCCCTGCTTTGTGGATGCATTGTGGTATATTATCTAAAGCCGTATACTGTAGACTCTTGCTTTAAGAAATCACTGCGTTATTATACTTAATACACCCCCTTGTAAAACCTTGCTTAAAGAATGCATGATGCTTTATCATATAAACCCTGCTTTAGGAATTCATTGTTCCATAACATATTTCCCTTTCAGTTTTTATACGACAGAAAAACATATTATGATGAAATCAGTAAAAATGTATAGTGCGTCTTCCAGGATGCATAGTAATATTCTTTTTAACAGTCGTGCCAAGACATATATAGTCAATGTAATTAAGGTAATTATTACTATACAGGACCCCCCTATTTTTCTGTAAAGTCCCTTGAAATTAATATTTGTCCCCGTTTTCCATGCCTGCACAACGTTGCTGTGAAAATGCATTATTGAATCAGTTATCCTTTTGTACAACCTTGCTATAATAATACATTGTGGTATATTTTGTATCCCTTTCTACAACCCTATTCGAGGAATGCAATGTTGTTTGTCATATATACCCTTGTTCAGCAATCGCCACCGTGGTGTAGTGGTTAGAGCGTCCGCCCGGAGAGCGGAAGGTCGCGGGTTCGATCCCCGGCCGCGTCATACCTAAAGACGTTAAAATATGGTACTTGTTGGTCCCTGTCTGGCGCTCGGCATTAATGGGTCAAACAAGGACTGGTCGGCTCGGAGTCAGTATAATGTGTCTGAGTGGGATATTCATACTTAACTGCGGCATGGTATCTCAGTGAGCTAGCACTATAAAACCAGCTTAAGTCTGGGCTAGTACAAGCAGCCACACATACACACGCATGCACGTCGTCATATGGGCGAAATATTCGTAAGTACGACGTTAAATCCCATTTCACCTAACATTGTTCAGCATAGAGGTATATATGAGAGATCACCGTGCACGACACTGCTTTATGATGTAGATGATGTATATCATATATCCAATAAGACAATACCGCTTTTAGAAGGTACTTCCCCCAACACGTCCCTGCTTAATGGATGCACTGGAATACATCATTTGCCCCGTTGTACAACCCTGCCTTGAAATACATTGCTGTATACAGAATCGACTGCTATTTAGGAGTTGTCATATCAAAGAGTTATCTCCCCCTGTAGATTGACGCTCTGCCGGAGGTAGTGGAGGCTGTGGGGGACAGGTGCGAGGTGTACCTGGACGGGGGAGTCAGGAGTGGGCTGGACGCTCTCAAAGCCATCGCCATGGGGGCACGAGCCGTCTTCGTGGGGAGGCCGATCCTCTGGGGTCTAGCTCATGCGGTAGGTGACGGAGGCAAAAGAGCCATACTAAGGTGTTTGGGTATTCACTGTTTACATACGTATTTTCTTTGACGTGGCTTGACATTATAGTGAGTTAATGGATTTTTACCTCACAAGATCATCTTTTTGTCCCTTAGGGAGAAGAAGGAGCAGAGAAGGTGCTGCAGATCCTGGGCGATGAGCTCAGCACGGACATGGCTCTAGCAGGTCAGTCGATGGTCACATTTGACTGTATCCAGCTGCAGTTCGGTTATACACGGAATGATAACGGTTAATCTTAGACACAAATAACCCCCATGTGCCACTGCGTTCCTCTTCATAAATCATCTGCTTTACTGTGAAGAGCGCGTGAGTTTGATTTGAAGCCGATTTGAAATTAAAGTATTTGAGTTACATGAGGGCGCGACTGATAGAGGAAAGCTCGAGGCGTTGCAAATCTTGAACACTGACCAATGCAATGGTCACGATAAATTAAGAAACATTGTGACGATGCATCAGAGATTCGAACCCTCTGATACATTTTTGTACAGATAATTTAGTATTATTTACCGCGTACATCTGTTGAGTTGAGTTGAGTTGGGCTTTACGTCACATCGGCATTATTCCAGCCATATAGTGACGAGACCAAGTCTGCATTAATAAACATTGTAAGTACAGAGTCAAAATGAGTTTTATTTCAAAAACATATATTCATTACATTGTCATTTAAAGACAGAAAAAGGCATAGCACTAAATTTACAGGCAGGCAATTTGTTAGTCACATTACACAGTTACAATTTTATGATACAGATCAACTTCCCTCAGGTAGTTCACTATCAGATGAGCGCTCACGCGGGAGAACAGATCTTTCAGATTTGTTGCATCATAGTGTGAGTCCCTTGCAGACGATAAGTCCACACAGTCAAGCAGAATATGCTTGATGGTGAAAACCTCATCGCAAGAGACACACATGGGGGTCCATCCCATCCGTTTTCAGCAGATAGTCATGTGTAAATCGACTGTGGCCAATGCGACATCGGCGTAAAATTACCTCATCACGTCATGAATGACAACCCAAGTAGGTATAACCGATTGTTGGCTTCAGTTCATACAGTTTATTTCTTCCTACTTGAGTGTCCCACCTCTTTTGCATGAGGTCCGAGTATAGCTTTTGATAGTGGGTTGGAAATCACTGTACGGGATCAGCAGTGGAGATTAGGGCTTTTCAAGAGCTGCTTTAGCTGCAGCATCGGCTTTTGTGTTACCTGCTATGCCGACGTGACCCGGCAACCAGCAGAGGACGATGTCACATTGGCCAGTAGCAAAGGTCGTTGTAAAGTTCTAAAATGTCCAGAATGATTGGGTGACTTGAAGTAACATTTTGAAGTGCTTGAAGGCAAGATAATGAATCTGTAAAAACGATGAATTTTTTTGAATGATTCTGCTGTTTAATGTAGGTCAAAGCTGAGAAGATAGCTTTGGCCTCGGCAGTGAAAATGGAACTGTCTTGGATCCAATGACTGCAGCACTGGCAACTTGGCCCTCATCCTTGGATCCGTCTGTGAAAATGGATCTATGGGTGTCATACTTGGAACGTAACTGGTTGTATTCCTGCTGGAACACCAAAGGATTCGTTTCGGACTTTTTGAGTTTAGTGAGGGTAAGGTCGACCTGTGGTTTCACCATCTGCCAGGGTGGCGAAAACAGGAGTCGGTAAGGGGCTATGATATTGAGATTAATTTTAGCTGCAGATATGTGTGGTTGAATTCTGATTCCAAGTTGTGGAACCAGGCTTGGCAGTTTGGGAAACAGGTTTTCATAGAGAGGGTTGAAAACACAATTGTATGCTGGATTGGACTGATTTGAACGTAATTTAGTGATATACTGCAGTGAAAGTTTAATGCGGCGTTGTTCAAGGGAAGGTTCGTTAGCCTCTGTATATAGACTGTCTACCGGAGAGGTCCTAACAGCTCCCAGGCAGAGCCTTTTATTTAGGCCTTGGTGGTGGATAGAATCTAATTTTTCTAAATTGCTTTTGCAGGCTTCACCATAAACAATGGAGCCGTAGTCGTAGTTTAGAGCGAACCAAAGATCTGTACAAGTGAAGGAGGGTAGTCTGATCCCCTCCCCACTCTGTATTTGAAACGACTTTTAGTCCAGAGCCTTCAAGCACTTGGTTTTCAGATAGTTTATGTGTGGTAAGAATGTCAGGTGACGGTCGAAGATGTCCCAGGAATCTACTCTTCTACTACCTTGATGGGTGTACCATCTAAAGATAGGTCTGGATCCTTGTGTGGTTTGTATTTACGACAAAAGTGAATACAATTTGTTTTGGATTTTGAAAACTTAAAGCCATTTTCATTGGCCCGTTTTTGGATTTTGTTAAGACAGAGTTGAAGCTGCCTTTCTATTGCGTGCATGTTCTTACCAGGACATGAAATATTGAAATCGTCCACGAAAAGGGACCCATCAACACAACTGTTCAAGACGTTAGTGAGGCTGTTAAGTTTGATGCTAGACAGGATGAGGAATGTGGAAATAATCAGACAGGATGGAACCTACCCGTACTTGAAATTGTCTGTTGTTTAAAAACTGAGATATGAACGTGAGGTAATCTGCACCTCAATCCAAATTCATGTAAATCTTTTAAGATACCATGTTTCCACGTTGTATCGTATGCTTTTTCTAAATCGAAAAAGATAGATACTGTATGCTGTTTGTTGACAATGGAATTTTGTATAAAAGATTCCAGACGCACCAGATGGTCACTTGTACTTCGGTTCTTTCGGAAACCACATTGGAGGTCACTAAGGAGGTTATTGGTCTCCAAGTACCAGATTAATCGATTGTTGACCATGCGCTCCATGGTTTTACAAACACAGCTAGTTAGTGATATAGGACGGTAGTTTGAGGGATCAGTATGATCCCGGCCAGGTTTTGGTATAGGGATGATAATGGCATTGTGGCACGAAGGAGGAAAGTTGCCGGTTGTCCAAATGTCATCAAATATATTGAGTAGTGTTTCCAAACTTGAATCAGGGAGGTGTTTGAGGAGTTGATAATGAATATCATCAGCTCCTGCCGCAGTGTCGTGAGCCTGCCCCAGGGCAGTGCGTAATTCATGGAGAGAAAAACGTTTCATTGTAATCCTCACCATTATTAGAGTTAAAATTGACTGATTTCTTTTCTTGTTGGGTTTGGTATTTCTGGAACTTGGGGTTATAATTTGTGGAAGAGGAGTGGTTTGCCAAAGTTTCGCCAAGTTTATATGCAATTTCAAATTTATTTGTTAAAAGAGAGTCACCATCTTTGAGATGGCGAACACCAGATTTGGATCCTTTGCCCTTAATCTTTTGAATCATGTTCCACACCTTGGACATGGGTGTGCGGGAGTTGATTTTGGACACATATTTCCTCCATGACCGGCGTTTAGTTTGTTTAAATGTACGTCTTGCCCTGGCATTTGTCATTTTAACGGCATTCAGGTTATGCACAGTAGGATGTTGTTGGAAGTACTTTTCCGCCTTCTTCCTATTTTTCCTAGCTTGTTTGCAGTTTGTATCAAACCATGGTTTGCGTATGTGCGGGTTTGGAGAGGACTTAGGAATGGTTTCGTCTCCAATAGTATTTAAGATATCAGAAAATAGTTCCATGGGATCAGGAACATTCCTGAAGTGTCCGGTATAAGTTTTTCAGAGCAGAGAGCAGGTGGTACATCCGCAGGATTGATAGGAGTGAGAATAGTTGCGAAGTGGTCACTTCCACAAAGGTCATCGTGGACCGACCATTCAAACTCGTTTAACTCAAACTCTTTCCCATTTTTCGCGCGCAATTTCTTTTTCTGGTTTTGGCATTTGTTCTAGTGTTTGTAATTCAGAAGTTTTGGCTTTGGAGATGGAGTGGCGGAGATGGGCTAAGTTGAGTTGAGTTGGCTGAGAAGACATGACCCATGTCAGATCGGTCTGACAAGAGGTAGTTGCAGTAGTGATAGAAGGACGGGAGACAGCAGAAGAAGAGTAGGTGATGGTTGAAGGGGATACAGTTAAACTTGCAACCCTCTTCTTAGCTTCATGAAAGGATATATTTTCTTTGATCTTTATGATCTCTGATTCGCGTTGCCACACTGGACAAGATTTTGAGGAAGCCATATGGTTACCACCGCAGTTTGCACACTTCACTTCCATAGTACAGTCATTGCCCTCATGTTTGTCACCACAGCGGTAACAAACAGCAGAAGAACGACAAGACTTGGATCCATGTCCAAACTTTTGGCAGTTGTCATACCGGAGTGGATTGGGGACATACACCTCCACACCAATGCTGCAATAACCAGCTCTAATAGATTCAGGAATCTTCGATCGGGCGAACGTAAAGAGATAGGTGTTTGATGGTTGAACCACACTGTCCTTCTTGATGGTGAATCTCTTCACAGCTGTGACAGACTGCTGGGAAAGTTCCTGGACAATTTGTTCCTCAGTCATGTCAGACAGGCATCGAGCTCTGTCCTGTACAATGCCTCTACACGTGATCAGTGTTTTGTGTGCTTAGACAGCAACCTTTACATTGACAAACTCTTGTAATTTCAGTAGATTCAAGGATTGCTGTCTCCGAGCACATTCTACTAGTAGAGAACCGGACTGGAGCTTTGAGACATTGGTAACCTCTCCGCAGATACCAGCGATACCCTTGGAGACTGCAAATGGGTTCAGTTGCAAAGGTTGCTTGTCACAAGCTTCAATTATCAAAAAGCGTGGACAGTAATCAGGTTGAGGGGGCGTACTCTCGTCAGACGAGGAAATGTCAGAATCCATATGTCTTCGTTTTGAACCAGGGTGTTGGGAAGCCATGTTGTTTAGAATGTGGTTCAGCATCCCCTCTCCCCACCCACCATGGAGTGTCAACAGGGACGATCTTATACTGCAGCGGATCTCCAAGCTGCAAAGACCGGGGATAATGGGGTGTTATACTCCAGCAAATTTGACATGAAAAGCTGTAGCTGTCTACCAGATTAAAGGTCAGGATGGTTCGGTCCATGACAATCAATTGGAGACGTACAGAAATCGGAGGTCATCATCACCAGATTGGCCCATGAGCCACCGCCTTCTGTGCATGGGCCTGCAAAGCTAATTTGTTTTGTCAGAATATCAGTTAACATTTTGAACATGGCCAAAGTGTTTTGTAATACCAAATTTTGTATAAACATTCCATGCACAGGGCAAGGCGTGACCAGCCGATTGGTAGAATCGGGCCTATTCTACCACCCGTCTAGGCAAAGTTAGGGTCAAAGTGGTGTGTTGGATTATTGAACACTATTGCCGGTTCCGTCATCCTCAACCACCAGACTCCCTTCCTCTGCCGACACAGGGTCGCAACCCACGGCAAACGGGTTGCCCAATTTGGTAGCCTCTTACAACCAGCAATGGGGTGCTGTGGACCTATTCGACCCCGGGTCCACACGGGGGCGAAGAACCATTGGCGTTACCCAGCACCCACCACGAGGAGGTTGCTCTTCAAGGGTGCCGCGTACATCTGCAGCACACATAGACTCTTAAGATCACTCTGTCACCTGAATCCTTCGAAATATGATTATCTATTCTAATGTCTGGGTGTGTTGAAATTGAACTTTCAATATCGCAAACAGTGTTAGATTATTTTAGCAATTTCAATCATTTAGTATTGTGTTCCACCGAAATTCTTCATTTCAGGGTCAAGTAGTATAAGGGAGATCTCTCGAGACATGGTGGTTCACAAATCCTACTACAGCTCCAAGCTCTGAGTGAAGACATCAGTGAAGGCATACAATACGATTCTGAGTGATGTTTGTTGCCGGGGTGAAGGACAGGACCATCAACACCTTCACCAACTTCATGTTGGTACACCACTCATTAGGTATATCGGGCTTTACTGATATATCCTGATATAAGTTGATGCTAAGGTTATATCATTAGGCTGCTGATCGAGACATAGTCACAATACTGGTAAACTCAGATGTGTTTGGAGTGTGCATACCTGCATTTTAAAGAATAGGCGTAGCATATGTCCCTGAGTATAGTCTTGCTCCTTCATGAATGAAATCTTGGAAGAGGAAGCAGAGATATTAAAGAGGGGAAACAACAATAGGGTGTGATAACAATGGTGGACATATAACCTATCTCATCAATGTTGTTGTTTCACCTGTACTTATATAGCTATCTGCTTCCTAGACGTAAGAATATACTCCAAAACGTCGTGTTCCTCGTAGTACAGAAGCTGACATCCATAAAGTGTATCCCTTCTAAATGCCCTTTAAAGACTTTGAAGTGGCAAAATCACATTGTTCAGAATGTAGAAATATATGAGGATGACTATGAATGTGCATAGGTGGGGTTTTGTAAGACCAGGTAAAGTACACAATCACATTGTAAGCACCCCACCCCTGCAAATATAATGGATCGTGCCCCTCAATCAAATCCAGTTTGATCACAGAGCAGGTCACATCACAACCCTTCTGTGTTTACCAGTTTTAAGTCTCCATTTTGATTTATTAACTTTGTGAAAGGTCGATTGTTGTTATCATGAAATTGCACAAAAAATATTGTAAAGGTTTTAATTTTTTTATGTTGTTTGGCATGACTGAAATCTGAAATGAAACATATAAAGATTGTACCAGCTTTACGTGTTGTTGTGTTTACGATAATTGAAGTATTAGCCGTGTGTGTTTCCGTATAAAAGAAGCAAATTGTATTCTGTGATCCTTTCGCAAGTATACTACTTGATATAATTTAAACATTGTAGATATGTGTTCTTATGAAACGTTTCTGTTAAAAAATGGTTTACGAATACGACTCAAAATAACTGAAATGGCGGAAAATTAACGGTAGTCAGTGACATGAACCTTCAAGTATTTTTGGTAAGACTCTCACTCCAGTTATCAATTAATATAAATTAACGTTTTTCTTAAACAAATAAATGTTGAATGTTTGTGTTACTTTACTTAATTATCGTTTCTTTATTGAAGAAATATTAATATAAATGTTAAGTGTTGAAAAATAAGTTTCCCGTCATGCATGCACATCTTTATCACAGCGTCCACTATGGCTAACTATTTGCAGACGATTGTTGCAAAGGTTTATAAGTTTTTTGTGCTTGAAAAAGACAGAGGTAAACCTTTCATTAGTATAGAAATGGTTTAATACAGAACTTGTAGAGCTGTTGGTATGTCTTACCAACAAGTTTACAATATTGTAAACAAATCAGATAAGACAGGGACCGTCTCAAAAGCAAAACCGGTACGTAAAACCATCCTTGACAACTTTGACAAGGGTCCATTTTGATTTATTAACTTTGTGAAAGGTCGATTGTTGTTATCATGAAATTGCACAAAAAATATTGTAAAGGTTTTTATTTTTTTATGTTGTTTGGCATGACTGAAATCTGAAATGAAACATATAAAGATTGTACCAGCTTTACGTGTTGTTGTGTTTACGATAATTGAAGTATTAGCCGTGTGTGTTTCCGTATAAAAGAAGCAAATTGTATTCTGTGATCCTTTCGCAAGTATACTACTTGATATAATTTAAACATTGTAGATATGTGTTCTTATGAAACGTTTCTGTTAAAAAATGGTTTACGAATACGACTCAAAATAACTGAAATGGCGGAAAATTAACGGTAGTCAGTGACATGAACCTTCAAGTATTTTTGGTAAGACTCTCACTCCAGTTATCAATTAATATAAATTAACGTTTTTCTTAAACAAATAAATGTTGAATGTTTGTGTTACTTTACTTAATTATCGTTTCTTTATTGAAGAAATATTAATATAAATGTTAAGTGTTGAAAATAAGTTTCCCGTCATGCATGCACATCTTTATCACAGCGTCCACTATGGCTAACTATTTGCAGACGATTGTTGCAAAGGTTTATAAGTTTTTTGTGCTTGAAAAAGACAGAGGTAAACCTTTCATTAGTATAGAAATGGTTTAATACAGAACTTGTAGAGCTGTTGGTATGTCTTACCAACAAGTTTACAATATTGTAAACAAATCAGATAAGACAGGGACCGTCTCAAAAGCAAAACCGGTACGTAAAACCATCCTTGACAACTTTGACAAGGGAGTACTTAGACGGGCGGTCTACAAACTTTATGAGAAGAAGAATATATATATTCTAAAGAAGCTACACCAGTGACTTCGTTAAATCTTTGGCCAATGTTCACAACTAGATTAAACTGACCGAATTACATCTATATTTTTGCAATGAAATATACTCTTGACATGCAAAACATTTATTAAAACGTTGCACATTTCTACAATCAATCGATAAGATAACACAAGTGATAGGATTCTTTCCAATGTACAGTAATTCGTATGTTTATTTCACAACAAACACACTTACACAAATGATCCCTCACATAACCAATACGTATACTATACGTACACATATTCAACATTTTGAAGAAAACATCTATTGAGATGACCCCTCGCCCGAGCGTGTGCTCAGGTGTCAATTTCACCTGTCGATACCGTGCATGCTGATGACGTAACACAGGCAGTTAATGTTTGTATCAAATAACGTCCCACTACCCGTTCTTTTTCTAAGTTTTTGGTATTTTCATCAGTAAAAACGCATTTTATGGCATGTCTCAAAATTTATTCCCTCGGTCTACATTAGGTAGATGTTTCTTAAAGTGATATTTGTTATTTAAGTAACTGTAATACCTCTGAATTTTAAATATAAGTCAAAAAGCATTTTTCTAGCATTTCCGACAGTACTTTAGCCCATACTTGCGCTGGTTTTATAGTGCTAGCCCACTGAGATACCATGCCGCAGTGAAGCATGAATACCCCACTCATTATACTGACTCCGAGCCGACCTCGTTGTTGTACTCATTAATGCCGAGCGCCAGGCAGGAACCAACAAGTACCATATTTTATCGTGTTTTGGCCGCGGCCGGGGATCGAACCCGCGACCTTTCGCTCTCCGACCACTACATGGAGGCGGTCATTCATGATCTAGCTGGAGCCAACGGGAGAACAAGGACTTATAGTTGTAGGGGAGAAAATACAACCGGTTGGCTGTGGAGTGCGGTGGGTGGAGGTACACACACGCCCTTTTGATGGTTAGTATAATATTAAACCTAACGTTTTCATACTGAAAATGACAAACGATTTGTGAACTCATTCTCGGTCTTTAACCAAATTCCACTTGCATTTTCCCTTCCGTTTAATCGCTTTTCAGTTTAAGGAAAATCTAACCCTAATATATAGGAACGCACCCTGACCCATACACCCTGAATGATCTGAAGATCGTACAAGGTGTAGTGAGTGAGTGAGTTTAGTTTTACGCCGCTCTCAGTAATATTCCATCTATATGGCGGTGTAGTGAAAAATAACAACGGAATACATAAAAGTACTTTTTTTCAGGTTTTGTCTTCAATGCATTGTATGCACAAAGAGAATACATGTTCTTACATCTAAGTAAACTTCATCACAAGTGTATTTTACAGAGTATCTCGTTTACAAAATGAAAAGAAGAATCAAACAACTTGAAAAGACAGACAACGGAGAGAATATTCGTGATCTTTCTAATCCATCTGTATACTGGTACATAAGATAAAATCAAAATCAAACACCATTATTTATTTCATTACATGTCATTAAACACAAGCTCGTGGTTAACGCAATGACGGCACTCCATGTAGAGATCGTAAGATCTTTAAGGATGGAGAACGTTATATTTCCTATTCCCGATACATATCAACTTTACTAAAAGATGAATTTCATCTTGTGCGTCCTGTGAATGCAGGTAATTTATTCTAAAACGGGTAACATTTCAGCTCAGATTTTCAGAAATCTTGTATCGTTCAGAAAATACATTCGAAGGGCTCATTCAACCTGTTAACTTTTCATTTATATCATGTATGCCTGCAGATTATTGATGACATGTAGCTGTATCTTAACCAGTATAATATTTTGTCAAAATATCTATTCAGAATAAAACCGACAAAACCCTTCGAAAAATCCTGTTAGATTGTGAGAGGCATAAACAGATGCCTTTATCCAAAGAATTTCGCGTGACTGTCTGCCATTATGACAGATGACGTTAACTTCATAGGCTTGTGAATTGTATTTTCAGTTCGCTTTAACTAATAGTGTAGTTGTTCGATTTTTCCAGGTAATACATTAACCTGAAGTGCTTTGACATATTTTTGTTAAAATAACACTGGAAAATACACCTATATATTGCTCTATTAGGTAACATGAACTCTCGCTGTTTATGAGTTGTCATATCAGAGAGTTATCTCTCCTGGAAAATATCATTGGTGACAGGTGCGAGGTGTTTATATTCGTTCATTAGGGACTAGGAAGAGCAGAATGTGGATTTTTATAAAGGGCTAAACAGATTCCCTGACCAGCTGTGCAGTCGATTTACATTTTTTCATTCTCAGGACATGATTATGCTTAAATATTGGAGAAAGCAGGGAATAATGAATTACACTCATTAGAAAAGGAAGCAATGGTGAAATGTAAAATAACGTCAAAGCTTGGAGTTGTAGTGTGATTGGTGAACCACCATGTCTCGCGAGATCTCGCTTATCCGAGACGCACCTGAAATAAACATATATTATAAATGTTTGCACCAGCTCAGGGGATCGGTATTTTTCGGCTTAAATTGCCATTGACAAGTTTAATAACACCTTTTCATGAAACCAGCATTCTGACATACAAACGGAAAAATAGCTTTGCTTCATATACAGTGGTGTTATTACTGAAAATAACACCATGATATGTGTTCATTTCTCAGGTCAATATTGAATTATGACAATTCATTGATAACACCGTACTCATACTTGGTAACAGGAGACAAAGCAACACGACCCAAACTAGGGCCGATCCAACAACACAATTACAATACAGACGAGGCAGCGGCGGAGTATTGAAGACAACTTTCCACATGTCAGCTGAGCTAACATTAACGACGGGTTCAGATCCTGTCTTAGGCGTCTCATCACTGACAGGTTCTTTAGGGATTTAAGTGAAGCACCATCACTTTTTCCGATTGAATAGAAGGGAAGAAATGAAACGATGTACCGAGATTTCCCTAGTTATTCACTTTGGTAAAAACGTTAGAAAACCGTATATGATGTTGCAGGTATATTGCTGAAAGTGGCGTAAAACAACTCAATCCCATCCCAAACGTTCTCAATAAGTAAAAGGCACTAACCCAAGAGTGCCAACCCTGTCCGAAATTCAGCCTCCAAGATCTTCAGCACATTTTTAGCTCCCTCGCTACCCTGAAATACATACAGATGAACAAAACGTATAAGAAGCTTAATTATCATCAATATTAGCGATAAAAGTCGTGTACTAGTCCTAACAGACATACTGCTCTTCACCTGAGAAATATATAACAAGATAACAATTCTGAGAAGAGCCATTATACGTACATGATATTAAAAAGATGCAATTCGTATTGTGCGGTAACCCGACGAGAAACATACAAAGACATATTGAAAGGGTATGCCTTTCAATAATATAAAACTTCCAGAGTAGATTAACCACTAACAGTACACTATTCGATTTCATATCATTATTCATATTCATTTGACGCATTGATCTTGTTGATAACACTCTTCCTACCAGACGATTTATCTGTACTTGCTCCCATA